TACAAATGAAAAATATGCTTTGTTTCTGTCAGTTGTTTCCGATGATGAGGCCTTTTGTGGACTAATGATGAGCAATTAACACCAATTGGACTCATGGAGGCTGTTTCATCTAGGATAACAAACAGTCAGAACCATTGAAATTTTAATTTTGTGGATTATTCTTACGAATGAAAAATATGCTTTGTTTCTGTCAGTTGTTTCCGATGACGAATAAAGATAATTTTGAGCTTTGAATTTGAGGGTAGCATGGGCAACACATGAGTAATAGTTTTGGTCTGTTCACATCGGAACAAGATCAAATTAATCGTTGTTCTGTTTTATATTAAATGTTATGCTATGAGCCTGACAGAAAATGTGAAATGCTCTGATTGTGTTGAAACTACCGAATTTGCATCATCCAAAATCTGGTCTCTAATTACCCTTCTCTTTAAATCTTTTCGAAGGTAATGACAAATCAATTTGTTTCGTTTTACTGAAAGCATAATACACATCTGAGTTGTTTATACATGATAGACAATGTTTATCACACTTTGCGAGTCCGTACATAATAGAAAAGATTTTCTCCAATTGTTCATCACAAACAACAAATCTGTTTCTGTTTGGCTTATTATGCACGATATTTTTCTTGAACTGAAAATTTGCATCTGATTTTAGCAAAATGCAAAACCAATGCGTGATATCGAGTTGACATCCTTCTTGTTAGGGTTGTCAGTTCTAGTTATAAAGATGCTGATTCTATCTTTAATTTGCAGAAGAGATACGAGGATATTCCAGTATTGGGGCAAAGGCAATCAGAATGATGTTTATGGAAATTCTAAATATTTTCAAGGATGCAGAAGGTTATGTGACCCTGTTGCAGATAGGGAAACTTTTTATGCTCTCTAATAAGGAACTCTAAGCCTGTTGATATGCTTGTCGAAAAACAAGTGGTCAAATTCTTTTCCTGATCTACTGGTTGCGGACTGGATAAAGCGCTGTTGTGCAACCTTACCTTGCATTATGTTTGTTGTTTCCCCCCTTTACTCTCAAGAAACATGGCAAATAAGTTTCAAAGGTTTTTTGAGCTGCTATGGTTGAAGATTTTTATCATATTGATTTGGAAGTTTCAAGTCTCAAGTATTAAATTACATTCACCCAGGTCTCCTCATATCAACAAATTTTCATTTTTATGCTCATATATTTTAGTCAGTCAGAGAAATGATTCCTCTGATTCCTCTACTGGTGAAGTGTTAATATGTTGATCTTCCCCACTGCTTAGCTTTCTCCTAATAATCAAAGGAAATGATGGGAATTATGTTCTACGATTTCCAGGTTTTCCTGTTGCATCAGGTGTGTGTGTGCGCGCGCGGGTGCGCACCCCATTACAAACTGTGAAAACTATATAAAAAAGAACAAATATATAAAATGTTCTTTTGGAAGATTCCTCTTGTTAAGTTGAGTTGCAGAACAAATACACAGAACAAGAGGAATCTGCAGTTGAGTTGCAGATTCCTCTTGTTAAGTTATATAAAATGTTCTTTTGGAAGTTATTTCGCAATAGGTGTTGTGTTGCCTATACCAAATCTGTCGGCTCGGGGGGTTCCAGTGACAGGTTGAGTCTGCTTATTATGTCTGCAAATTCATACAAATATTTGTTTAGTGTCCCATCCGGTTTACGCTTCCAGTGTTTGTGCTCTTTGGTGAGTTTGAAACCACTTCAAATTTGGCTTCCAGTGTTTGTGCTCTTTGGTGAGTTTGAAACCACTTCAAATTTGGTTGGCAACCATGATATCGTTTGTCCGCTGAACTATTGCGGTACTTCTTTTTATAAGGTTTGAGGGGATCCTCCACCAACACTTTTTTTAATGTCTGTCTCAAGATAGCATTGCATTGCATTGATTTTGATGTAGAGTTACTCCAACTTGGTTGGGGTATCCGAGGGGACTTGATTGGCTAAGACACAGTGTATTGTATGTCCTTTTAATGAATAGGGTTGTGATAATTTAAATTCTTTCTATACATAAAATAAATGATCCAATATGTTTTACGTACATAAGAGAAGAGATGATCATGATCTGAATCTATTGTATTTATAATTTTTTAATTAATAAAAAATTATTTTATTAGATAACATACATACAGTGTGCTCAGAGATCTATCACTTATGTATTAACCACTCATGTATTCCAATAAAAATTGAAGGAATCAAAAATAGAGCTTTCGAAAAATGGATGAACAAGAAGATACTTGCAAGATTGGAATGAGAAAAAACAAAAAAAACAAAAGCAAGACAAGATTCAAATTTTGGTTTGTACGGTGGTATGTGTTGAAAATTATCAACGAGGTTTGGGGCAATGATTTCATATATTCTGCAAGTGGTTGGTGTTTTTGTCATACGAGTATGGTGGAAAACCTAGTTGCTCAAAGAGTTGCTAATTTTGGTGGTGGTCAGCATCCAATTGCTGCTGATTGTGTTGTCTTTCCATTAGTTTTATTTCTCACAAAGACTTGGCCTATGACCTCTCATCAATCATCGTCGAAACAAGAAGAAGATCATCCGATTTTTCTGTGATCGGGCATTTGAAAGTGTAAGATACATTATTCAAATGAAAATGCAAGTGTTAATATGAGACCAACAGCATGTCCTCCTGGGATGAAGAACAAATGACAAGTTACATTGCACAGGATTTTGTTTTCCTTCACCAATGCACTTGTCAACACATACATCTTTAACACGATCAGATGATGCACCCGAACTAATTTAGACATTGATCTTAACAGACGATGGCTTATCCTTCCGAGTCTCACATCGACAAAGAACAGCCTCCCCGTCGTCTTCTCCTCTTAATGTGGTCATCGATTGAAGAGAACTTCATCGAGTTTGAACTGAAAGATGAAGAATTTAGTATGTTAGCGCATTTCAGCTTTAAAAAGATTACCAAGTTGTATAAACTGGGGAAACTCCTGCGGCAAAATGGGCAAGAAGTTAGAGAATGATCAAGCTCATAGAGATTTGGTCATGTCATTACAAGTGTCAAGTTTCATATACTTCTGGTTCCTAACAAGTTTTCCTATAACAACAACAAAAGCAAGAACATAAAGCCAACAGAACTATGGGAAAACATGCATATAACACTGGTAAACTCGAAGTAGCAAACCGAATATATTAGTTATAACTTTATAATAATGGATGGAAAGTGTGATTCCATGTTCAATGTCAAAGAAATAAAGGCCATGACTGAGAAGTTGATTTTCAGGCTAGAATCACAATGACTGTGTAATAAACAGAACATGATGAACAAGAAAAGCAAAAGATGAAAAAAAAAAAAGTGTATATGGAAACCCCATGTCAAACCTACTTGCAAGGATATAAGCAATCACAAGAACAAGTAGATCTGATCATGTCAGAAACTAGTACGAAAACAACTGCATAAGGGGGTTCACCGAAGAGCAACAAACTTGGTACAATATTTCTTTGGGAAGCAAATGTGCAGTGCCTCTTAAGAAAGAAAGAGAATTAGGAGCGATCATAATGACCTTAAAACCAGTAGAACCCTCATTTTAGATAATTTCACACAGAAAATCTTACTAAGCAAACATGAAGATTAGTTGATTATCTTTAGTCTATTAATATGATATTGTCTAAATATGCTTTTGAAGACTAGCTACTTGGTCATGATAGTATCATAGAAATTTTGCTGTGCCGATTCAGGTAGAGTTAATTGTTTGCATTAGTTGGTCGCAGATAAAGGGTTTCAATGCTTGGTAAGACAAGTAGATATTGTGTCAGTATATATTGGTCCAATTGATATTTGAAACCTTGGTGAAGTTGTCACCCTCATTTCTGCAAGGTCAGTGTCATTTTCTGATTTGAGAGGCTTTCTTACAATCACTGAAAACTCAATTTTCGGCAATTCCATCCCCAAACAATGATGGTTTTTAAATTGTGATGGTTCTGCTAATGCTTCTACTAAGCATGCAGGTTCTGGGTTTCTTTTTACATCTCTCTCGAAATCATTTTGAACGGCTAACTGCCAGTTCTGACAAGCTCATAATTCAATTGCTGCTGAATGCTGAACAACTATCTATGATAGTCTTCACAGGGCCAAGCCATAGGATTCACCAATATCTGTGCCAACTCTGATTCACTACCGGTGTCAGAGTAGCTAAATGTGTTCTGAGATATCCTTTGGCAAATCAAGAATTTGTTAAAAATTATATTGAAAATGATCAACATGTTAACGTGGTCAAATGGAGTCATTTAGTTTGAAAAACAAGGATGCCTGTATTCTTGCAAATTTGGCTAGAATTAGTAAAACATGTCAATATTGGGGTGTGTATGCTCCCCAATTACTTATATATTCGACAAGGAATTTGGTCATATAGTAAAAAGAAATCAACAACGTCTGAGAGTTCACTGAAGTAAGAAAAGGTTGAAGTCACAAAATTGAACTTTCCTGATCTTCATTTCTATATACGATTGAACTGCCTCTAATGTGCACCAGAAGAAAAAGCTCTATGTAAATCCCGAATGCAGAAACCAACTGCAAAAGGAGGCTTTGAAAGCTAAGACAAGCATTTAGAGAATCCACCCTGGAGAATAATTTAACCAGTTGCACAAGTACTAAAATCTCTATTTTCCCCTTAGTTTTTTGACATTTCAATCCATTCATCACATTTGGGCATAAAACTAGAATACATTTAAAGCTAACATATTCTCAATCAAAATTAATCAGTCGAGCCATCTCACTAATTCACCTTACATGAGGATTAGAAGTTCCACCAAAGGATTGCAATGATCAATCTTCCTAACCAACTTGTGCACTTTATCAAACCATATAGTAGCAAAGGATTTATACAATGACCAGTAGCTGATGTAGCATCTAAAGATACTGTGTAACTCAAGATTGCAACTTCTGAAACTTTCTACTAACCTTTTAGTTTTTTGTTTTATTTTCATCATCGGGATTCCTCAACCTTCCTTCCGAAGCCATTATCTCTATTCTGCATGGGATATTTCCTGCTGTGGCTACCTTCCCTGCTGAATAATTCTGTGGTTGGACGCAGGGTTACTCGTTCTGACTTGGACCTACTATTGCCATTGCTGTGCCTTCCATTGCTCCCCATCTTACTCCTTTCAACATTACCAGCATCAATGCCTTGGACCACATTTTCCCTAAAACAAGCCCCAAATCCCTGGCTTCTGCTATGGTTTCTTGGGCTAGCATTCGGCCTAGCAGAATTAGCTTCTCCACCCTCCACCTTCAAGTTCTTAAAATCATCAATTGTTTCATCAAACTCGTTCCATCTGTACTGACCCCGCCGAAATCTTTGCCTCTGCGAGTTGCCATGATTTCTTGATCTAACAGTAAGCCTGTTGTCAGCAGCTACAGTCTCTCCGCGTGAATCAATAGCAACACCACGCTGTGCAGAAACCCTCCGATCCTCCCCTGTGCCACTTTCTTGACGAAAGGAATTCCTCGGTGATCTTGAATTCTCTGAGATAAAGATCAGATTTTGATCGCCTCGTTCAGTTCCTTCGTCCAAATTCTTGGGTTTAAAATTGATGTCCTCCTCCTCTGAACCACGATTGTCTCCACTATTCGAGGACCTTCTTGACCTCCTCCTCCTGCTCCTCCTGGTCCCTCCCGCTCCCCTCGCGATCCAATCGTCAAACCTGGGTTGTTCCGAGTCTTCCTCTCCATCCTCCCCCGAGTCCTGGCCGGGTCCCCGGGCGAGGCCATAGGGCTTCACGCTGTGCACGACTCCCTTAGGGAAGAACCTGGCGGACGGCAGCCCGTCGACGGGTGAGCGGAACACCTGGGGGCCGTCCCGGTCGTTCCACATGTCGAACCCACCGGAGCGCTGGAAGCGGTCCGCGAGGACCTTGAGCTGCTCATCAGCGGCAACGGAGAAGAGGTTGGGGGCGCGCTCGACGACCTCCCAGGGCCGCTCGAGCTCGGACGCCGCCGCACGAAGCTCGGACCGCTTGCGCATCTCGTAGAGCTGGCGCTCGCGGCAGAGGCGGGCCTTGAGCAGCTGCTTCGACTTCTTGGCCTGCATCCGCTTCCACTGCCACTTGGACACGCCACCGGGGTACGTCCGGGGGCCGCCGCCCATGCGGATGACGAGCTCTCGCGCCGAGCGGCCGCGGGCACAGAAATCGACGGAGAGGGGGTGGAGCAGGGGGAATTCATGGGCACCCGACAAGAATCGAACGGAGGATAGCGTGCGACTGGGGGTGGAGGGGGGTCGGGGAACGGCGACGGTCGAAGGAAGGATTGCGGTCGGCATCCTTTCGGTTTGGATTGAATTGCTCAGCCGAGGAAGACGAATGCACAGAAGCCAGAAAAAAAGAAGTAAATCGAGGGTTTTTCCCTCTTCGATCTTTTGAGAACTAAAACGAAGGCAAAAACTATAATTAAAATAATCGTATATATTTTAATATTATGTATATAAAATATATTTTTTTATTTTCATAATATTATTAAAATATAATATTTTCATTACCACATTTTAATATATTTTTATGTTACTAAAATAATGTAAAAATAAAGTATGATATATGAAAAAAAGATATTATAATAGGACTGACTGGTTGACCCCTATTATGTATGACCTATATATAGCGCCTCTTAGAAAAATAACCAAGATTATGAGAGATATTTCAAGGATTAGATTAAAAAAACATTATTTAAAATTTTGAAAATAAGAATTATTTTTTTCCGAAAAGAGAGAGGCTCTAAATTTGCTCATTATAATTAGTAATTTTTATATTTTGTTGTAGTAAGTTTAAATTTTATATACACAACTTAATTATTACCTCAAATTTAAATAATCTTAATCATCTCCAAAAGTCCATTATAGTGATAATAATATTATGGATTACCGTAGGAACTCAACATTAGTGTTTAAGTTAATGCATTCGTGTATAATTTTTTTTCCCGTAAAATAATGAACATATGGCTCTGAAATTACAGATGGAGGCCATATTTGATGTTAGAAAATTAGGTTTAATATCTTTCAAGAGTCCTTGTGTTTCCCAACATTAGTCTTCTCTCTATTGCTTGAACTTGGAAGTTGAAGCGGTCCTTCCTCGGCTACCAACAAACTCTTCACACTCTGATCTCTTAAAACACAGCTTAATCTATCATCATGCAAATTCTAAGATCGATCGACATCAGTCCTAAACCATTTCAGCAATTCTTCCACCTGCTTGCAATGGTTGTTGACCAATAAAAAAGGACGACGTTTGATGCTTTTCCCTACTATGTATCTCACGGTCTTGGTCTTAATCATGCATGCACGCTCGAATATGTCTTGTCTCATCAGAAGAAGAGATCAACCATTATTAGAAGACATCCATTATTATTCCATCGGCATCAAAACCAACGAGGCGGAAGTAAAGCTACAACAAAGCGACGCCCACACAACCACCGCGCAACCAGCCGAGAACAGTACAAAACCAAACCCAAACCCAACGAAGACGACGACAGCAGTAGCAACAGCCGAAATGGGAAATCAAATGCAGATCTGATCTAATCCCTGCCGCCGGGAGGAGCAGCAGCCGCCTCCTCGTTGCCACCACCAGCCATGCCCAGCGAGCTCTTCACAGCATGAGCAGCCCCAGCCGCCACGCTCTTCACCTGTTCCCCAGCCTGTGCCAAAAAGAACCTGATTCAGAAAAAGTAGGAGAGAAACAGGAGGCCATTGGTTCGAACAACGTGAGGACGAGGACTTCACTTTCTGCAACACGCTTCCGGTTTTCTCCTTCCCGGCTTGAGCGGTGTCGCCGGCGGACTGAGCTGCCCGGGAAGCCTTTTCCTTGGCCGCCTCCGCCGTCTCCTGCATGTAGCCTCCGGTCTTCTCCGTCCCCTCCTGGGCTCGCTCCTTCGCCGATTGCGCTGTCTCAGATCCCTTGTCCTTGGCCTCGTAGGCCTTCTCCTTGGCGGCCTCGGCTGTTTCCTGGCCCTTCCCCATCATCTGACCCGTCTTCTCCTGCAAACGCATCAACGACTCGTTCATCAAAACCAGAGCTTCATATATTTATATATTTCTATATAGTTCACCTGAGCTTGGCCTTTGGCTTCGCCGGCCTTGTAGCGAGCTTCATCCTGGTGGGACGCCATGGCGCTCTCGTCAAATATGGTTTCCACGAAGTCGCCTTCCCGCTGCCGAATCAACCAGATGAAGAGGGGCGTGTGCGGAGAAAGAGGAAGTTGGCGCGGGGATATATGTAGGCACCGATTCACCACACGTTTGACGCCTGTCCATGCTCCGTGCTTGTTTCACGCCACGTTCGAGCACACGCGTTGCGACGAAGTTTAACGCAGCAAGAAAAAGAATTATCCATAGTCTTTGTTTTCGTCATCTTTGGTGGAAGCGGAATCGAGAGATGTATTAAAAAAAAAATTATTTGGTTTGAATATATTCGTTTTTCTCATGAAAAAAGATTAATGCATTCAAAAATTCCTTCCGACCTACGTGGATGGAAAAAAAAAAAGAGCGATTAAAGAATGCAGATTGTCCCAATATATTTGATAAGAGAAGAAAATAATATTTGTAAACTAGGAAGATTTTATACTCTCTTTTTGATGTTTTTATAATTTTATTTTAAATTTTTTAATATTTTTAAAATACTTTTCTACAAATAAAAATATTCACAACATAATTATCCTTCTCTCCTTCGTGTATTATAAATAAAGCTCTAACGTACTACTACGGATAATAGGTTTTTGAGAGAATAAGGATATAAATCAATCCTAAACTAAATACGAGAGTGTAAGTAAAATACAAAGTTTTATCCCTTCGAATGGGTTCCAAAATCAACCTTAAGATCGAATATAGGCAGCCCCTCACAGATTGTATCCATTCGGGTTGAAACTCCCTCGGATCGTAGAACGACGACACCGTAGTCCGATCCAGAGGCCCTCCATCGCAAAGAAAAAGGTTTCTTCTTCTTCTTCTTCTTACGGTCGGTATATGCATATATGCAACAGGCAATTCTAGTCCCACATGAGATACGTCCATACGTCAAAGCACGTAATAGTAAGCAGCTGCGTGTGTGTCAGGGAAAAAGCCAAGTCTTTCCGGAGACAGTTCTGACCATGAATAAAAACATTAGGCGGAGCAAATGTCGTCGGCAGCTCCACTTCACGCCGCTGAATCCGCCTTGGTCTCGTAGCCGAGCTGCAGGGCTGTCTGGTCCTGGTGATGCGAGTAGTGAGCTGCTGCCTCCAACATGTTCGCGTGGTAGTAGTTCCTAGAGTCGAATGCTCCTGGAATAGCATCGTACTCCGCGCCGGCTTCCACGATGCTCAGTTGCTGCACTCGTTCGTTCTCTGCTATCTGAACCCCAAGTCTAAGAATCAGCTTCACATCTTTGATTCTTGTTGCGATCAGGCCTAAGAGAAGATGTTTAGCTTGTGCTCACTTACCTTGGCTCTGAGGTACATGTTGTCACTTTGAAGCTCCACTTCCTGCCATCATCCAAGGTAAGGTAGATCAGTCATCAAGAAATAGAAACCAAGTCATCGGTGATCGATGCTTACCCTTTTCTGCATATACTCGATTTCTGCAAACAGCAGCTCATGCTTCATGATAGGAAAATGTATCAGTACTCGGAGACGACAAGATGCAATAAGTTGTCTGTAGCAGATTACCTTCTTCGATCTGATCCTTGTGATGCTTCTTTCAAGTCGGTTTTCTAGTTGCTTGAGCTCCTTTACATTAAGAGAACTTAAAGCGTCGCCCATCAAGTGCCTGGAAGGGGAGATTTAGATGGAACACAGAGCATGAGTGATCTACTTACTTTGAGATGGGATTGCCAACTCACCGATTCGCATTCTGTAATATCTGGATCTGGTGGCGAAGTTTGGCAGATTCTTGCTGATAGTAGTGCTGCATGCATCAACGAGACACAACTTATTTACTTGTGATGTCTGAGCTTCCTAGCAAAAGAAAGTTTAAGATCCTCCATCTCTTCATATGTATACATATATATATATATATATATATATATATATATATATATATATATATATATATATATATATATATATATTTGGCATTCCTGTCTTCCTTAAAATCGATTTCTTGGAAATTACTTTTTTGATTCACTGATGGTACGATCGATTTAATTGTATTCCACCTTGATGCATAATAAAAAGCACCATCTGTTTTTTACTGACAGACCACTAGAAGGACTCCTCATTATTCTTTGACGCTGCAGTACACAACCTAAGTGGAACAGATGAAAAACAACTTAATCGTCTCTTCAACATAGATTAGTAGCTTGTGATGTTAAAGGAGGATATGTTGAGCTGTTTTATATTTCTCTGGCTACATCGTCCATCCCAAAGTGATTATATAGTAGTTTTTTTTTTTGAATGCATTAAGATTCTTCATTCACTCATAGGAAATCTAACCAACAACATCCGGTATGACTATTAAATGTTTGCTATGTAAACCTGTTTTCTAGATATCAATGGAGCCACACAGATCACAGGTATGGTTTTCAATATCAACTTGGCAAAAGAACAAAATCATGAGCATGATGAATATGCTAAACATAAAAGTTTATAATGCATTATGATGCCAGGAAAAGCAAACTGAATCTAATAGCTCACAAGATCACGTAACCATAGAACGGTAGGCACACTGATGAAGTTAATCCAAAACCACTCATCCGTTTGGAGCAGTTTCAAACGGATGAGTGGATGTGGATAAGTGGGTTGTCTTATTAGTTTTATCTAGGTGATTTATCATTTATTTAAAAAATTTATAATTCAATTTTTTTTTTACTACTATAAATATATGTTTTTAGACTCATCCAAGACACTACTATAGATTGGAAATCTTATTTCTCTTCGATCTATCGAGGTTTAATAGATCGAAGATCAATAGATCCAGAAAGTGAAAATAGAAAGATGATAGACATTAGAGCAAGTGTTTCCAATCAATTTCTTTCCATCTTCAAAGTTGAAAATTATTAATTTTAGATAATTAACATAAAAAATTATTTCGTAAGGATTATGAAATTTGATAAAACTTAGTCTTGTTGAGTATGATCTATAGGATGCCAACATTACCAACGATAAAAAAAGATCAAATGAATGAAAATATACAAAAAAAAAATTGCAAGAGCCCTCTACAAGCTACAAAGTAATAGATGAGTCCATATTTCCTCTAATAATGCCAGTATCAATATTAACAAAAACTTAGAAAATCTTAAAAAATCTGATCTTATAGTGAAAACCTAAAAGATCAAACAATAGTAAAATAGTTTGATATGATTTCTACTTATCTCTACAGTTTGATATAACGTGATCTTAAACTTATCTCTACAAAAAATTGAATTAATAGACATAAATGCATTATCTATTGATGAATTAATAGACTCACTTTTAGTTCATGAACAAAAAATTGAACTGATCTTCAATTAAAACTTCACAACATGCTCTTCAGATGAAGATCGATTCTAAGAAAAATTGAAAAAAAAAAATCCAAAAATCAAATCTCAAGGCAAAGGTTAGAATGATAGAGGTTGTTAACAATTTAATTTTCGAGGTAAAGGATGAGGTCGACCAAATGAGAGTTAAAGAAATTTCATCGGAGGTAATAAAGAAACCCGTTAACGTGTCTTTGTTGAAAAAAAAAAAGGTTAGACATATTGGAAAAGATTATCGATATAAAAATAAAATTCTAAATGTACTTTTCTTCTCTTATTGAAAAATATGATCTTTTTGAAAAAAATTATTAGAACAAAAATTAAGTAAATTATTATGAAAAAAATAATGATGAGAAAAAAGATAAAAATAATTTTTTTATAACATCCAATAAAGAATGTTTTAGTTTTGTTTGGTTTGGTTTTTAAATAATGAATGTAATAGCCATATGATAAGTGATCAAAGTTTATTTCATGGTTTGATCAAGTACATAGTGTAGATGGAAAATAGTAGTGAAATTCAAGTGGAATGGGAAAGGAACCATTGTTTTAAACATCAAATCTAGTCAAATATTTATTGATGATATGATATTTATTTTTAGATCAAAATAAAATCTCATTAGTATAGGGAAATTGATGAGAAAAAATTATTATACTATTTTCTATGATAAAAATATTTAATTTATAATACAAATTTAAAAATTGATAGCAATCATGAGGATGATAAAAAAAAAAAAAGATGCTTATGTTATTTTTTATACTTGCACTCACTTCTATTATTATTGATGAATCAGTACTATAACATAGAAGATATGACCATATAAAATATGATAGACTAGAATTGTTTAATAAAAAAGCTACGGTAGTTGATTTACCAAAAAATTAGAATAAGTATAGTATTTGTAAATCTTACGTCTTTGGAAAACAATACAAAAGTTTATCTCAGAAACACCATTCTTAGAGAGCCAAGGAATGGTTGGAGCTTATGTATATAGATATTTGTTAGCCTATACAGATTATCCCACGTGATGAAAGTAAATATTTTTTATTATTTATAGATGATTGCACAAGAATGATATAGGTATATTTACTTTGAAAAAAAAAACTAAAGCCTGTTCGATTCATAAAAATTTCAAAGCTTACATAAAAAAATAAAGTAACTATTTTATTAAAACTCTATGTATTGATTAAGGAGGTGAATTCACTTCTAAAGATTTTTTTAAGTTTTACAAGAATATAGGCATTACAGAGAGTTAACTGCAAGCTACACCCCCAACAAATTAGAGTAGTAGAGCAGAAAAACCAACAAATTAGAGTAGTAGAGCAGAAAAACTAAGTTGTTGTCGAGACCATGAGATATATGCTTAAAGGAAAAACAATACCAAAAAAGAGTTTTGGGCAAAAGTCGTGAGTGCGGTAGTAGTGTATTTACTAAATCATTTTTTCACATTCAAGGTAAAACACATTATAAAGCATGGTTTGATCAAAAGTTTGATTGAGCCACTTAAAAGGTATTTGATAAAAAAGAAGTAAACTTGATAATAAAAGCATTAAATGCATATTTGTGAGGTATAATAATAAAATAAAAGGCTTTAGACTTTACGATCCTTCAACTAAAAAATTGATCATAATTCATAATGTTATTTTAGTGAAGAAGTTTAGAATTCTAATGCAGTTGAAATTTCGATAGTTGTAGGAGAAGAAATCTATAAGGCACATGATATATTGCCCATTATTAAAACCTTACTTGAATCTTCTCGGATTTTGAGTAGTTTTGATTCAAGTGACTCTAATGATAATGAAACAGAGAAAGTCTTGTAATCTTTCACAAATATATCAACCTAGTGATCTTACATGTTTTGCTTTAGAACTTGTTTTGAAGTTGCAGCTCAAAAAGAAGAATGGGTGCACACAATGAATGACAAACCCCTAGCTATTGAAAAAATAAGACTTGAAAGCAAGTAAATTTGCCCCTAAGAAAATAAATAATTGGACTCAAGTGGGTTTATCACAAGTCAAATTTAATACTGATGGCTTGCTATAAAAACATAGAGCCCATTTAGTTGTCAAAGGGTATGCTCAAATTTCAAATATTGATTTTTTAAAAACCTTTTCTTCATTTACAAAAATTGATACGATTTATTCAATGTTAGCATTTGCAACTAAAAAAAATGATATGTTTATCAATTTGATGTTAAATCAACCTTCTTGAATGAAAAATCATAAAATGAAGTTTATGCCAACCAATATGAACGATTTAAAATAAAAAATAGGAGAATAAAGTCTACGAGTTGGAGAGACTATTATACGATTTGAAATAAGCACCATGGGCATACTACAATAGAATTGATAATTACTTCTTTCAATGTAATTTTTTAAAAAATTTAAGTGAGCCAACCTTATGTATAAAAGCTCAAGGTATAAAATTTTTTATTGTCTATTTATACGTGAATGATATGTTTTATATCGAAAATTCATTGGATATGCTTATTGAATGTAAGAAAAATATGGTTGACTTAGGGCTTTTATATTATTTTATAGGAATGAAAATTATTCAAGATATAAATAAAATATTTTAGTGTCAAAAAGAATATGTTAAAGATTTATTTAAAAAGTTTCATGTGACAGCTTATAAGTTTGTAAGGACTCCAATGAATATAAATAATAAGTTGGTGTTAGATGATATAGTTCAAAAAAATATATATGAGAAGTAGTATAGAAATATAATTGGAGAATTAATTTATCTCACACATTCAAGGTAGAATATTATGCTTGTAGTTAGTTTGTTGTTCAGGTTCATGCATGGCCCTAGAAGGTATCACTTTAGAGTAGGTAAAAGAGTTCATGATATCCGTTCTGAATAGGTAAAAGATCTTAAGTTATATTCTTATACGGATAGTGATTAGATTGGTCGTACAAATGATTAGAAAAAGTACTTTAAGATTTATACTTAACCTTGGCTCAGGGATGATTTTATGGACAACTTAAAAATAAAAATTTGTTGTTCTCTCAACTTCTAAGGTAAAGTATGCTGTAGCAATTTCATGAACTAAAAAAATAAGAATATGTTACTCTTTCAAGATTATGTCGTGGTTACAAGCACGGCATATCAAATAATTTAACTTTGAAGAATTTTAATATATTATCAAAAAAAGCAAGATAGATCAACTAAAATTTACTACAACAACAACAAGTCTACTATTATAATGATGAAGAATTTTATTTTTCGTGAATGCACCAAAACAATGAAAAAATTCATATAAACTACTATAGCATTGAAGATCAAGAACAATTTCAAGTTAATCTCTTTTAAATCAGGGGGGGGAGGGTGTGATAAAATTAATCCAAAACAACTCATTGTTTTGGAAACTATTCATCCGTTTGGAGCAGTTTCAAACAGAAGAGTACTTGATCTTTTTTATCTACGTAGCTGAGTTTATCATTTGTTTAAAAAATTTATAATTGATCTTTTTTTACTGCTACAATTATGAGGCACTACAAAGTTAAAGTACTCTTCAGACTGTCTTTTCTCTCTCTCTCTCTCTCTCTCTCTCTTCTCTCTGAAGTTACTCTGTAGGAAGCCAACCCATAGGTATTCTCTAGCAAGTATAGCATCAATAATATCAGAAATCTTGATTAGAAGATACATCTAGATTTGTGACTGAATGCAGTATTAGTTAGCATTAATAATTAATACTGATACTGAATGCAGTATTAATTATTAATACTGAATGCAGTCTAGCAAGTTTAGCATCAATTATTAATACTGAATGCAGTGTTAATAATTAAAACAAATCACTAATAAGTAATAGAGAATAGCTAAAGATCATGATGCTCATAGTGCTACTATAGTTGGGGAAATTAAGCTTTTTGAGTACAACACAATGAATGAAGAAGATCTGAATGGAATAATATTCTTACCTGAGAATTGACGTCCACAATGGCACCCGAACTCGAACTGTCAGCGCATGCCTTCTTGTACCTCTCGATCGTTGATTTTATGCTGGAATGAGGATTTTTAAGCAACAAATTAAATTAGGAAGCAACATCGCACTTATGTTTCAGTAGCATCAATCAATGCATGCATTTAATGCTCACAGAATCGACCAAATAATTCTACAGGACATTGCAAGAAATGTTGAATGAAACCAGTGAATGGCAGACAGATGTAATTATGACAACTTTGACAAGATGTAATTTGTCACTGCAGTCCATACTTTTACAAGATCCATTGATCTAAGCATGATTGGATCCACATATCATTCATGAATTATATGGATAACTTGTAGTGTACTTATTCTCGAAGGAAAAACACACAAATAAGGCCACCTTTTGCATGCCAAAGGAGAAGTTTCAGGGAAATGTTTGCATAATCAGATTACCAAATAACTTAGAAATTGATTTTATTGATTATTTCTAATAGCTGTTATGGACAACTTAGAGAGGTCCCTGATGCAGTATTACAATGTAAATATATTTGCAGCTACTGAAGACCCCAAGTTTTCATTTCTGCAATTACTTGTCTTTGCTGAGGAAATATGCATGAGTTCATGATAGAAACATACAAATTTACCTATACGCATGCACATAATGGAAGGGAGGTAACTGTAAAAGGACTCTCTCGATCTAATAATGTATTTAGGATCTTTTACCTGGTAGAATGTGGAGGAAGAATGTATTTAGGATCTAATAATGTTCAGCAGTATTTGAGGTTTTTTGATAGAAAAGATATAGCCAGCCATTTCGCTCTTCTTTCCAGGGAAGAAAACATACAGAACATAATAGTCTACATCTAACCCCGTATACGATTTCATCTTGACCATAGGCACCACAAAAGTCCAACAATTTAACTCCTCTAGCTAAACATCAACTACTGACTGACGACTAGATCTCTCTCTCTCTCTCTCTCTCTCTCTAGAAATCTACCACACACACACATACCAGGTCTACAGTCCAACAACGTATCTGGCGAGGGTGGATAGGGGGGATTGCTGACAGAATCCATCATAGAGTACTCATGTGATGTGTTCCAACTTTTCTTTCCACTGAAGCGTCACATATCTATCACAAGGGTGAGTCTTTCTGCACACGTTCCAACGGAGCACCAATCCTTGAATCGAACTCAGTGGACCCCTCCCCTTTCGTCACCTCCATTCTACAGATATGGGCAAGAATCCTTTCCATGCAAGACAAAAGCTGCACCGAGTGGCGTGCAAGGTAGGATCGCGCCACTACAAAAGGCAAGATGAAAGATATATGTCTGGGACTGCAGTGATCCTGAACAAGGTTGAGCCACAGCTGGTTGGAACTCTCAAGGCGCGTACAAGCACCACAGCACAGGTCACCTCCATTGGTGGCTTTAAGGGTACAACAACACACAGTGTGTGGGGGTTCTTTCACTGTTCAACATATCTTTATTACCTTGGCTACACGTACACAATCGCAAGGGTACAAGATGAACCTTGTAGGTGTGAGATGGAACCTAAGAAGGAACATGGACCATCATCCACTTGTGCTGGCATGCCAAAACATGGGAGGGAGGGATCTGAAGCCAACTGAGAAAGGCTACTGATGATCTTGATTTTGTCTAAAGAAGCCGACTGCAATCAGAAACTCAGAATCCAGTGTTGGATACAAATAATGGCCAACCCCAAACCCAGAGGACATAAACCAACCTTTTTTGCTAAGAAATTGGAAATATAAGAGGATGACACTGGCACCACCATTCCTTGGAATAAGAGGATGTCTCATATTGGGATGAGAAAGCACTCTTTAACTGTATGTATGTATGTATGTATGTAAGATGAAGGATCAAAAATAAGTGGCTAAGCTTGCTGACAATACGAGTGGGTTATGTTCGAATAAGTAACCTTCCATCCTACCTGACTCTGAGCAGGCACAGCATGTAAGACTTCAAATCAGAAAGAAAAACACTTGAGAAAAAATACTTTTGGTTGGATATCTGATGTAAGACTTCAGATATATGGAATCATTGCTTACACACAAACACAATTTCTCTCTTTGCTTTTTAAGCCGTTCCATTATGGATGCAAGTGGTAAATCAGAGACATCATTGACTGGCTTGAATACATACTATCGACTCCTCTTTGTCAATATTACATTACAGCATTAAAAAGACTGTCATTAAAGACTGACCAAGGAGGAGCAACTATCACTAGATGACCAAGGAGGAGCAACTATCATTAAAGACTGACTGATGTTACTCCTTCACTGGATGACCGAATTAGAATCAGTGATACTGTCGGAAGAATTCAAGCACACTGACAACCTCAAGGGGTGAAATAAAGATTAGACTCAAAATTAAGGTGACCCCCCTCTTGTTTGACGGATGACACGAGAAGCAAAGCAAGCAAAAGTATCTCGTACTTGTTACGAGAAGTTGATATGAAGTATGATGTCAAGTACGATATTTGATTTTTCTTTTTCGAAAGATGAAACGATGGACAACAAGTATCTATCATACTTACTACACACTGCGGAATGGTCAAGCGGCAAGTCATGTTTCCGAGGATGGGAAACGAATGCGTAGATGAAGCAGAAAAGAGAGATGGAAAAGAAAGTGGCACAGAAAAGGAAAAGGAATTAGGGTTGGTAAATCTAAGAACATGTTAGTTTAAGTAAGATTCAATAAAAAAGAATTCAAAAAAGTGATTGGTAAATCTCATATTTCTCTTTATCAAGATAGATAATTAGGGTTTGGTTTAGTCGATCCTAGTAATCTTAGGAAGAGGTTTTTGATTCAGCTGCACTCCTGTTGTAGATATTTGATCCTGAGCCATAAACAACAAAGATGTAATAAACAATTTGAAATGTAATAAACAATTTATTGATGCATATGATTGTCAAAAGATGGGAAAAGTTTGAAATGTAATAAACAACCACACAAGACATACAAATAAAGCAGTTAGTGAGGCTTTCTTTCAGAACATAGTCGAAAACATTTCTCAAGAAGAGAGATCCATTTTACGTTTGGAATTAGAATAAACAATGAAACATCATCATCATCATCATCATCATCATCATCGTCATCAAAGACCTGAGTTGACTCAAAATGGATTTCTCAATGTTGTCTGCTCTCTCTTGTCATCGGATTTCGTTTGAAATCTTCAACTTTATAACTAGAGATCAAAGCCAACTGTCATGCTTTTTAATGAAGAAACTCTTGTGTCACTAGAATGATTTCCCAATCTTATTTTGTCTGTCACATGTTAGACAACAACAATCGACAAGCAAATTATGCAGTCAATATCCTAGTGGTACAGTAAGTTTCGGTTCTCTCTTAATGATGTCCCTAGGAATCCTACATGTTGACAAAGAATGATAACACTGAACATGATGTCCATGGTGTTGATGACGATGATGATGATCACATTAAAACAAAAAAGACGATGAACAGGATGACAGATGACTCAACTTGCATGGAGTAATTCTCAGTGTTCATACAGATCGCGAAACGAGCAGATCAATTTTAGCCAACAGTGAGCTTATTTTCATTCTCAACCGCTTAACTCTCTTTTTTACTCTTTCATAGCTTCCCCAATGCCATCTCAAACTAGCCCAACTTTTCGAGCCAGATATCCCACAAAACATCTGCTCATTCTAAAACTCTATTCAAATACATGAATATTCTGGAAATAAGAAGAACCATCTTTAGAGCAATGCACCTAATCAAGAAAGCTGATTATATTTCTAGACACATACATACACGGAAGATCGGAAGATTTCCAAGTAGATTGAGAAGAAAAAACCAGTTAAGAGTGGAGGCCGAAACAACTGAATATATAAATGCTCTTGAAATTGTTTGCACCATAAGTAAGCCAATTACAGCCAACGACTACAATATGCCACACAAAGTAAGCAATTATCATCTGGACAATATATTAGCCATCAAGAAGATACGATCCATATCCCTTTTCAAAATGTAACCATACTAGTCATCTGATGTCATATCATACCATGCAGTACCAGTTTGGGTGAGACCGGAGGCAATCCTCCCTTGTAGGCAACCATACAATAATGGTCATCATTGATACAATGTTCCAAAAGAAGGAGATATATTTCTCTTAAATGGCTGCGGTGACGAAATTATTCTCCAACACATCTCTACCTGGAAGAGGCTGAACACTTCTTAAACGGTCACTAAATATCAGCTTGTTCTCTTCTCAAGAACTCTGATGGGCTAAATTACGTTTGATTTCCATCCCATATATCTGGTGAAGTTCTCATCCACTGGTCTTATGTCCAGTCTTCTAAATTTCTAAGCTTTCCAAGCCGGAGTATGCTTGTACACTCTAACCCAGATTATATATATATATATATATATACCCTAAGAATCTGTAATTGTTTTACCCAATACATATCTTTCAATTCTGAAGTTCATATAGTCCTCTAATACGGCAGTAATACCTACCTATATCTAATACGTAGAAAGCAAGAACATGATGCAGTGATAACACTGTCAATGGGAACTGGAGTCTAGAGATGTACTTAGCAGCAGAGTTTCTAATCAAACGTTCACCTTATCAGAGGCTTCACAGTGTGCTACATTTCGTCCTTTCTCCTTCTCAGCGTTCCAACCTCCCATTCTTGTAAATCATCATCCCACAAGATTGACGACGAAGTTAAGGTTTCGTCAAAAAGGAAAGACAAGATAACATAAAGAGGCCACCTTGGGAGAACACAAAATGGCCCGACGACACCCCACTCCTCGAGCGTGTAAGTGACGTGAATAGGCGCATGGCCCGAGAAGTAAAACCCCTTCCCCGGTTCAAGGCAATCATCATCACGTAGTACACATCTCCGAACAGCCATGCTCCCCTCATGGCGCATGGTGGTGAGGCGAGAAGAGAGAGAGACAGAGAGAGAGAGAGAGAGAGAGAGAGAGAGATAGAGACATTAGGTGTTGCACCAGAAAAGAAACCAATTCTAGCGAGGCGCCAGTTTCCCTGGTGGTGACAAAAGAGGCCCAAACCCTAAGAAAGAGAAGAAATTTGAATCCTGGGCAAGGTTTAGAACTCAAGATGCAAGAGAGGCAGGAAAGGTGGTTTTGAAGGTAGCTGCAGGGACGGAGGCTTCGTGAACGCAATGCAAACACCAAAGAAAACAACAACTTGAATGCATAGAGAGATACAACGTTTTGGTGATACTAAAGAACCACAAGGTCATCAATGGAGACAGGTAATGCATCTAAAGGGAGCGTCTTTCTGGAAATGTAAGCCTATGGATTCTTGTCAATGGAGGGATCAGACAGGCACTAATTGAAGGCAGGCAGAAGCCACATCAATCCCACACAGAGATAGAGAGATTTGACCAGGCAAAACCAAACAAGAAAAAGAAGGATAAAAGGGAAACAAGAAAACCTTACGAATAGCCTTGAAATTGTACACACCTTACAGTTAGTAGAGAGAGCCATCTTCAGGAGAGACTGCAATTTTTTCCGAGTTGAAGATAGGAACATCCTATTCCTATGCATCGTTTCGAATCCCTAGCCATTTATAGACACAAATGTTCCACAAGTAAAAAACATAGATAGTGGTATCTAACATCTATCCATTCCCCCCTTCTTCTTTGGCCACTACAAGTACATACAAAACCTTGCAAAACATCATCAAAAAGGAAAGGATGGACTTAGCTGGAGCTCGATCTCCATCCCCGACATCCTTTTCCTTTCTCTTCTCCCCAAAGGCCCAAACGGGCACGGAGTGAAAATTATATGAGGCAAGAAGCTGATCCATAACAATATCTACAGATCCTCAAAGCAATTCTCTTGTAAAGTTCTTCAGCAACTTGGTGTATTATTGTCGAGTCATTATATGATCAAGGGAATAGCATGAAATGTAGAGTTCAACACACCGACATACTTGTTATTGGCGTACTCATATAGCCTGCCGCGGCTGGAGAACACGATTAGGGCGACCTCCGCATCGCAAAGCACAGACAGTTCGTAGGCTTTCTTCAGCAGCCCATTCCGGCGCTTGCAGAACGTCACTTGTCGGTTTGTGGTGTTCTCGATCCTCTTGATCTCAATCTTACCCCTTCCCATCTTTGTTGATGTCCTTTGCACCGAAGCTGAGCTGAAAAAAAGGAACAATTTCTAGTCTTAACAACGGCAACACAAGAAACCTAATCTCCATTATCTCATCTTGTGTTGGTATCTAATTAGGAGGCTCGAGGATTCGGGTAAGTCAGTATATATCCATGCCGTGAACGAAAATTAAGAGCCAAAAATTAACCGAGCAGAAGAATCTTGAAGAACTTCTGAACTGTACAGTTGGGAAGAACGAAATCAAGCTTCAGCTAAAGAAGAAATCTAAAACTGTCTCAGAAAATGATCTGTATTCAGATCAGATATGACTGGGTCTTTCTCGCGTATATATGGAGTCAAAACATGATCATGGTTCTCAAAGTTTTGAGTACCCTAACACCCAAACAAGAATCAACAAGAAAGAAAGCTCTCCCACAAGAAACATCAGCCCTCTCCTCCAAGAAAATTAAACCAGAAACATCAGCCCTCCCACTTGCAACACCGAGGATGGAAATCTAAGGGAGCTGAACGAGAGGGGAAAAAGGAGTAGTAAAAGAGATTAACCTCCAAGCACTCAAGAACTTCTTCCTGACTAAAACTAAAAATCAAAGAAGATCAAGAAATCAAGGCCACTCGGAAGCCACCGTTACCGACTATGATCTCTTCGACAGGAAGGTGTCGCCGACTACTCCGACTCCCAAAAAAATGCGATGGCCAAAGGTACAGAAGTGAGATTGGAGAGGCAAAAACAAGAAAAGATTAGTGGATCTCGAACAATTTCACGACCTTCTTTCCCCTCGAAAGAAAGATCGGCGTCTGCTCGGGCTTCGTCTCGCCCGCAGTCTTCGGATTCCTCCCAAGGATGGAGGAGGGGAGGAAAAGAGACAAAGCAGCCGCTGCATGGCCACACCAGCGTCCTCCTTTTTGATGGCCGCTTCCTCTTTATCTTGTCCTTCGCGTGCATCTCCCTATCGTACGCCGGCGGGCGGAGCTGCTCACCCCCCTCTCCCCACAAACTTTGTCCGTTTTGGGTTATCTCATTTCGAGTAAACAGTTCTGGAGGACTAGTTGACCAGAGAGCGCGCAGAAGCGCTCGGCACGTGCGGTCGCGGGTGTGTTTCGGGCTCAACCGGAACCCACCCGCGACGATTTAGTGTCGTCGACAGCTGTGAACCGTACGATCGACGGGCCGTTCTTTTTTGGGTTGCCAAAAAGTGGGTAGACCGGGGTGGCGATCGCGGAGGACCGGAATTGGGTTAAAACGGTGGTGTCCGTATCACCGATTCGGAGAGGAGGGGTTGGGAAATGGCTGTGGCCCACTTATTGGACGGCAAAAGATTGGGCACGTCACATCACAGATCGCAGTGAGCGAGTGACATCGGTGATGGACTCCAATTAGGAGAGGCGTTCCGGTGTCCCCAACGCCCCCACCGCGGGTGCCGTGACACCATCCTCACCCGTGGGCCCACAGGTCAGGCTCACGTGAGAGTCACATCGGATGAGTAGCCTACTTGAGTTGAAGTCTGTGCGCGGTAGGGGATGGGATAAATATAATCATAATTATCAGAATCTCCCAAAGAGAAAGAAAAGAATCGAATGGAATGGGCTACGGATTATTGTTCTGAGCTTGCGTCCAGCAGGGTTGGTTTCCTGCATGGTTTGACTTCTCGTTCTCGAGCATTCAACTCTCCTCCATGAGGAGAGGAGAAAACGAAGGTGCAGTTATTGATTGGGAGAACATTTGTGCTCCTCTCAAGAGCAGAAATGGAACTCACCTCATTCAACCCTCGGTTAAGAAGGAAGCGTGAAAGGGACATATGATGAATAAACAATATGTTGTCTTCGACAGTGATACTTCCAAGGATGATATTAGTGGATAAAGTTGATTTGTTAGATCTTCTACTAGGTCTCATATTTTTATTTTCTGCCATTTGGAGGAACAGGTCGTGATGCGTATCCATCATCTTGTAATAGTAGTCATTAGTCGATAATATGTCTTAATTCAGTGACAAAATGTCCAGGAGGTTTACTTATAAGACAATAAATGGGCAAGATCTCCACTCGAAGGGACAAATAAAGTGAGTTTGTGTCTTGATAATCCAACAACAGCAACTTTGATTACTGATAGTACAAAAACACTGAGCTGAGCTAAAAGTCAATTAGTAGATCAGGAGTGGGATTGGTTGTCTCTCATTTTAGTTGTCTTGTTTCCTATTTCCATGTCTTGCTCTTCCAGGAGCATTTACAGAACAATAGCAAGGTCAGAGAGACTGGACTGCTGCCTCTTGACTCCTAATGCAATCCAGATTTCAACCATTTGCTCTGCTCTGCTCTGCTCTGCTACTATGTTGAGTTCAGCAGTACAATACATATTTATATGATAGGAACTGAAACCGAACGTATTTGTGCCTCAAATCAAATCTTAGATTTTCATGAGTTCACATGTAGTCTTTAATGAAATATTATCGAGAGTGACAACTCTGTCAATTAATAATTTCAAGTGATTGACACCTGTTTTCATAATTGGATATCTGTTGGTGGGTGCTCTATCCACTCATTTTTTTAGTATATGATAAACTTTAGATTTATTATTATTATTATCTTCCTTGCCAATAATAACAAATGGATGGTTAGAGAAAATGCTTGAAGATATATTAAGTAAATAGTTATCCCCATCATCATCATCATCATCATCAACAACATCTTCAAGTGAGGACAAGTGTTGTCTTGCAGGTGGGCAGGTCAATTTCTCTTTCAAGAGTTCTTAATCAAGACAAGAGATCGAAAACTGACTATATTTATTAGATTTCCTATTTGAGTGGTGATCCAAATATAGAATTCAGTTCCGAAAAATTGCTCTCTGGGGTCCCCCAAATTTAATGGGGGGTGGAGTCCCTTAACCTAACTTGTATGTACAGTTAAATTCTGCAGGGTGAAGACCACAGAAATTGTTTCTCCATTCAAGCTTTCACATCTCTACCATTTTCTGCCTCTTTGTTATGTTCATTGATCCATGCACACTTGAGCACAGCTGGGTCGGGTCGTACAATAGATGGATGGATAGTCGTCATCTTCTCTTTGTTTGTGTGTGAGGAGACTTTTGCACACCTTTTGTAGTTGGGCAATCTACTTTTTTACAGTTTACTGAAATATTGTAACTTGCCTGAGATACATTCTCTTTCTTCTTCTTCTTCTTCTTCTTCTGCTTCTCTCTCTATCATAATCTCCATGGATTTAATACACCTCCGAGCATGTCCACTGTTCCAATGAATCCCATTACTAAGAATGGGGGAGTTGGCCTTGGAGATTGGCCATGTCGGGAAGACTTGCATGCAAGATATCTTCCTCGGTGCAAGTTAGTAGGCACCAAATCCTATTCCCTACGTACTACACAAGTGGGTGGTGGACATTATACCATTTCAGTGCCTATCTATCTATTCTCCACCAGCACAGCACGTAGGACAGCAACGGAAGAACAATTCCCTCCGACTGAAACTTGTAGGACAGATTTATGGCAAACATTTATCGACTCAAATTGATATATTTTACAATGCCTCTGCTAATGAAAGGTACATCTTCTTCTTCACGATGAAAGTTCAAAATTTTTGGACTACTCCGGTGAAGGTCAGCAAATCCAACATGATCTAAAAAAATGAAAAAGTATCAATGATGTGCAAAGTTTTTTTAATACCCTAATTAGTTTTACGTCGGATGTGGATAATGAATATGATTGACTTATATGAGCATGATGAGTGTACTATATAAACTTTAGCTTAAATATTTTGATTTGTGATTTAAATTAAATGAAGTTATTGACCAGTTCACTCATCAGATCCAAGATAAGCTGATCAAATTAAGAGAAAAACACTATTTATTTATATGCTGGATTGCTAAGGTAATGCAATTTCAATTAATTGGTAAAAGAAGAGAGCAATTACAATTTTAGATGAATAAATCAGTAATAGATACTTCCAGCAAAAAAAAAAAAAAACAGGATTCTTGCTGCAATTTTAGTCATAATTGAAACTACTTAGAAAAACAGTTGGTCATGAAATAATAAGAGGCTTTACTCAAACAAATCTATTATCTTCCACAGCAACTTTAATCCCTTTTTTTTGTACAGCAACTTCAATTAAGGTTTCACCTCACTGTGTCACACATTCTCCAACAATAATTGGTTGGCAACCCACGTTCTACAAAGCTCTTTAAAGACAAAAAAAGAAAAAGGTAAAGTGTGTCTAAGGATCAAAATGGAACACTAGAAATTGATCAAACCATATAATAAAACAGCTTGCAGCATTATAAAACCCCTAAGAATAAGATAATAAAACAGCTTGCAGCATTATGCAACATAGACTCCACTCTCTATGTTCTAATGAGCTTTAGCTTCTCTTTCATGTGTAAGGCTGAAGCAATCCATAGCAACAATTTTATGAGGTTATCTCTAATGAGGATACAAAGTCAATAAGATTTGTAGATCTAAAAAGGTCTAGTAGTTATATCTTAGGAGGAGCAACTCACAAGAGTACTACCATTAATTGTGCACTCGTACAAAAAAAATGCATATCTTGTAGGAGATGACAACAACACTTGGCTACTTCAGAGATTGTAGGGCAAAGAAAATGAGGTCTTCTTTCATTCCTCAGATACAAGCACAGAAAGAAAAAGTGATGGATATCTAACTTGTGGGGAGAACAAGAGTTCCTTCTTTTGTCATAAATGGTGTGCCATTGGGTTGCTGCAACAGTTTGGTAATGCAGAATAAGCTAGAGAGATGGAGCTTTAACAAAACCTGCGAAGAGGAGTAATAAAATATGTAGCTTTCGATATCTCATGTGCATACCAACAAGGAGATGAAAAAAAAATCCCAACAGCATGCATGAATAGGTATTTGCCAAAAAGTCTTGAATGCCTAATTCCACACATCTCAACAAATCCATCTCTCCTCTTTGAATGCCTTGGGAAGACATATGGTTGTCACGGTAGGTTTATTCTTACAGAAATGCTTGACCTCAAGAAGCCAATGCCTAACTGCTCAGATCAAGAACATTTCTTTTATGACACATTCATGGTCTTGAAACTTCTACAGCTCTGGTTGAGCTCAAGATGCAAAAGCTCCTCAAATCAAGTACAACCAAAGTTAAAAGAGCACCTATAATTTAGCCAATACATCATCGTGAGAACTAATCAAGCACTGTAGTCAAAGTGGGGTTTCCAAGGAATCTTAACTCCATCACCTCACCCAATCAAAGTGCTGATGTCCATGAGAGAGTCACTTTCATTGCCAAGTTTAGTTCAGCAGCATCTGCCACCGGACAAGCCATGGGGGGACAGACCAAAAAGAAGCATGAAAATGGCAGTTGTGGTCCAAAGGAAATATACAGAACTGATGAGATAGGAACAAGTTTGATGGACTCATTGTTCTGTATTCTCTCTGGCTGAAGAGATCAGGATGGCATTGGATGCCACTACCCCTTAACAGATGAAAATGGAATCCTCAGGTCTCTAATCTAGTTGAAATCCTCTGCCAACACCACCACCACCACCACCACCATCACCACTCATAGGCAAAGCAACCCAAAAAAGTGGGTGGGTGCCAATCAGCCATGTGCCGACTTGTCTTCCATTTTCCCAAAGATCACAAGTGAAGATACACACCAGACCTGTTATTATGGTTTTAGTCCACTCCAAAAGCAGAGCTCTAACTTGGTAATTTCTGAGCACAACTTGGATGAGACTTGATCCTTGCATGCATCCAATCTTTATATGATCTACAAAAGGATACAGGAATTAGCTTGTGAAATATAAATATGAAGATCCATAAATTATCACAATCTGACCCGATGAGAAAACTCATTAAATTGATGAATCTAGTACCATGTGACGCAAAATAATCCAAAACCAAAAGGTAGCCCAATATTATGCCCTAGTATGTGGCATGTGAGAACCAACTTTCTAATGTTTTCACACCGTAATGCGCCTCCGACTTCATTCATATATAATAGTCCTTTCCTAATTGAACCATTTATCGCACCTTATCTAACCCTAATACCAATTATTGAGATCAAACATGATAGGAAAACTGGTCATTTAACTTGATGAGCCTAGAAACATATGATCTAATATACATAAGTTAACGGTTGTGAACTCATTTACCCACACATAGAGTCACATATATCCTCTCACTTATGATGTAGAATAAAATCAGGGTGTCACAATCTCGGAGTGTCATAATAATAACAAGAGTATATTCAGGTGATAACGAAAGAGAGAACTCTGAATTAGCAAGGTAAATGATTGGATCAATTTGAATGAATACAAGCAAGAACAAGACCATAACCATCATTGGCAATACAGACAAGCAAGATCAGTAAATCAGTGTAATCTTTTTAGTTGATCTTTTCCAAACAATTCTACCAATAAGAGACTGTTAGTTGATGACAATTTCTGCAATACTTCACATTGAAAATGATCCGTATCAAGGGATTACACACCCATAACATACGTGGGAGGTATGGAATTGTTCCTTGTTCAGAACACATGAGCTATCTGCTCTAAGAACCACCGGTGTGACATCCAAGGCCCAAGTGATGATTATTCTGTGTCAGCAAGGCACCTATCTGAGGAGACATTGGATGTTAGCAGCAACCTTTTCATGAATGGCTAAAGAAAAGAACAATGCAAAAAAAGAAGAAGAATAAGAGGATCTGAAGTGGTGTGTCTCCTATGCATTCCCTGGTGAAAACATCCATAAAACAAAAGCATTACAGAAGGCTGAGAACAACAGCTCATGAACTTCTACACAACAGTAGCAACTAACAAAACTGAATGTAAGAACTTAAACCTTTAGAATTGTGTTTTCCATGCTTGGACATCTTCGTACTTCTTTACAGTATCCATCAAAGCTTAGCTTTGCAGTTCTTCTGAAACAATCTGAAGCTACTGCAGGGGCTCAGATCTCCATCTGAACTTGAAGTACATTTCCATGCAGTTGCCAAAGCCTACAAGTGTTCTTTTCTTTGAAATTCCATTGCTGGTCTTTGGAAAAACTAAAACATTCTCACCATGCAAAATACAATGATGCACACAATACCAAGCTATGATTTTCATCAAGAATATGATGGGTCTATCAGGATGGGGGTAGAAAATCTGAAGTATGGGCTGCCAGATATCACAATATTAGTTTCAATCGAGCAGACAACTACGTTTCATGAAATTCTACTCCTAGCAAGATTGAGAGAACATCTATGACAGATTCACAAATAGCTCCGAGCTCTTGCATATTATTCAACAGTTATTTGCATCATCGACTACTTATATTGCCATTGTACTTGATGGAACCCAACACTCCACCAGATAGCAATTCCCTTGGTAAGATCTTGAATTCTTGACTAAAAATCTGGATGCCACATTTAATCTGTCAGGATTTATGAAAGATAAGAATAGTCTTTCTAGAGAAAGGTTGCAGAAGGGCTTGATCACCTAGCCAAAGTCCACAAGCAAGTAGGCTTTCTCAAAGGCATCAACAGACTTACAGAGTATAGCCTATTTCCTAAAATAAACCAAAAAGAACACTGACATTCTTTAGAACTACTTGCAAACAAATTGTGTTTCGCATAAAATTTTCCCAAAAATCTTCAAATCTATACTAAAAAGGATCAAGATAAAGAAAAATATTGTATATGTTATAGCCAATAATGTAACAATTACCTCGTAATTGCATAATTTTATCCCTGAAACCTTTTATCAGAGATCAGAATGTAACTATTAAATCTGATCATAATATAATTCTGGCTACTCATATTATCCTAATAACTACAGAATGATAATATAAAATCAATTCTCAATCTAGCACCAGCTGCTTACTCGTACGACAGTATTCTGCCCTTGTACATATCCAAGGTTCATTTCCAGCTAGTGCAATATGTTCTTCGTTATGCTTTTGACAGTATTCTGCCCTGGCACATATTCAAGGTTCATTTCCAGCTACTGCAACATGTTCTTTGTCATGATTTGAGCCAGTGCTTTTTATGCATAGACAGGTTGAGAGGTGTGTCCTTCGTCATGCTTTGAGCCAGTGCTTTTTATATATAGGCAGGATGAGACGTGTGGCTATGAATCCTACCACAATTGTCAATACTGAACACCCAGGCACATATACAACCACCTAAAACACTGGCCAAGGGTACTACTAGCTGTGTACCATTTGGTGGTTTATCACCTCATGGATCTATTATCTTTCAAAGTAAATGTTACAATCGTTGCACCTAGTATTATGCAATAAGTTGTACACAAACCATGCAGTAGCTCTATGAATGTATTCCAGAGAACATTATCATAGACAGTTCTAAATTAGGAAAATGCAAGACTTTAACTTTCATTGTACAAAGATAAGCCTTTACTGTGCTAGCATGATGCCTATCAATTGGCACATGTGCTATGCCAAACCAAAACAATGTAGGTTTAAACTGGTACAATCAATACCTACTAGAATGGCACATGATAACAAAGACAAATGGGCAATTAGATCCATGGGCACCTCATCATTATAACTTCCTACAAAATCCAAAAAAACTTAAATCCCACAGAAATATACAAGCATAAAATGCAAAAGTTGAGGGGAAAAAGTTACGTTCTTTTTTTATTAGAAAGAACTTGTTTGGCAACAAGGACATTGCATCTCTACTATTATAACACTAGCTACGAGGTGTCATGCTGATGAATGATGTGCCTTGAAAATTAGTATGTCATAATTTTAACTGTTGTATTCTTCATTGAACTAAGAAACTTATTTTGTTGCATTAATCCAACGTCTTTAGCTGTTCCCACTACCAACTCATACGGCCTAAAGGGCCAGTTTTAACTAATTACATAATAGCATGTTAACCACAAGATATAGCTTCAAGGGCCTAAATGAAAACACAATCCCCCACAAATCTCCCAATGAATATTTAAACATAAGTCGCTAAGTAATTAATCTAAGCATAATCCGAATATCATATTGGTACATAATGAACAAAAGAATAGTAAATTATGAGTCAAAATTAACTGTTAACATCAAAGCGCGATATGACGATGACGAATAGATCAAGATCAATTAGAAAACCCTACACAACGATCACAAATTTCACAATATTATCAAATAGTCGTCCAACACAAATTTGTGTCAACTCATTTATCTAGCTCCCAAAGGCATTAATATACCTAGATCTCTTGGTATAGGTTCGTTGACTTGACAGACATTACCTTCCAAATTGGTGTATCTCACAACTTCGTATCATGATACACCTGAATACCTACATAATTACCTGAGGTTGTCAACCATGAAACAGATAGTAAGCTATTCTTCACGCCTAGCACATGATAGACATTCTCCAACCGCACTTGATACAGGCAAAATCAAGGTAACATCAGTCTTACCAATATGTGTTCTCGGAAAGATCATGAAAATAAAAGATGATATTTTTAACCGTAAATCAATTCCAGAATTATGAAAAACAGGTTTAAATCTTTACAACCAGTACAAAGATCTAACCAGGAAAGCATTTCCAACTTCTCTAAGTTTGAACACTAGTAAAAATCTGAACCTACTATACAATAGACCTCCCAATAACGCAGGAAAAATGTTATGCATCTGATGAAAGTTGACAAATTTAACGAAAAATATCTAGCAAAAACGGAATCGACATGGATTAACAAAGTAAAAAAACACTTATTTTGCAACCTGTTTATACCATTGCATATATTTAGACAGGTAGTGAACACTAGAAACGAAAGCAAAAGTACTATCCACAACCAGAGGAGAATAATATGAAGTTAGTCTACAAAAGGAAGCCTGATCGATCTCTCATATATCGAGGTATTTACTCAATAGAGCCTCTGTTTGGAGAAGTTACGATCTTTGACGAGCAATTTTATGAGGTGCACAACTGAAAAGAACACTACAAAGATCAAATCATTGGAACTCTTCACGCAATCGACTTGTCTAACGATACAATAAACATGTAGAAATTGGAGGAGAGCGAACCTGGTAAATCCATACGAGGACGTGAAGCCGAACGAGTAGTCGGCATTCTCGCTCTTCCGTTCTCGTCTTCACTCGCCTCTCACCCTCCTCCATCTTCCGAGCAAACAAATTAACCCTTACTTTGATTAGATTTACACCAGAACCTAATATGTGGATCTTCGAATTATCGGGTTGATCCTGAGTGCGTCCGGTTTACACTCCGACCCGATAGAGGAATAGCTGTTCCCGAGATCACGGGTCTAATTTCTCGAATCCGCCTGGTTCAGATATCATGTACTCAGCCAGGCTCGGGTCTAATTAGGCCTAAAGTTATGACCGGTCCAATTCTAAGACTCGGGTCGCACCATACTTCGTGGTGCGCAGTTCTTTCGCTCCTTTCCCACCCTCGCCGCTCTTTTCCTACTCGACTGCCTCCTCCGATCGAGTCGGTGGAGAGACGTCATCGATCGCAGGTATTCTTCCGTGCGCCTGGGATCATCCTAATAATCATTCGCCGCTGCGGCCTCATCCGGTCGACCGCGTTTCTCGTCTTAATTTGGTTCTCCTCTTTTTGTGTTTGATGTTTTGTGGCAAAAAAAATCTCCTTTTTTGTTTGTATGTCTCTCTGTATCTTCGAATCGAATATACTTATTTTTTTCCTTGATGATGAGTGTCGTGATTCCGCAAATTTTGGTGGGTGGTTTTGGGGTTTTGGATTTGGTGGAGGGATCTGGTCGAATTCGTAGTGGTAGTTGCATGATCTAGGCTTGCTAAGCTATTAGTGGATGCCGAGAAATTTGCTGTGATCGGGAAATGTATTAGCCTCAGTGTAATCGATGGAACCAATTCGTATTGGTGGCTTTTGCCTCCTGTACTAGCTGCCTTGGATGCTTCCTGTTGATCGCATCCTAAGGTAAAAGAGCCCTACGGTAAATCAGCAAGATTTTTGTTCGAAAAGATAATGGCGAGTCTTGTTTTGGACCCAAGTGTCTGTTCTGACATTTCAGTGCTAGTCTTGGAGGGC